GACGCGGACAAGAAGCAGCAGATGCCGCTCACGCCCCGCCGCTTCGACCGCGACGACGGGGACCAGTGCGCCCGGCTGCTGGACCTGGTGAAGGACATCGCCAGCCACCTGGATGTCACCGCGCTGTGCCACAAGATTTTCCTGCACATCCACGGCCTCATCGCCGCCGACCGCTACTCGCTGTTCCTCGTCTGCGAGGACAGCTCCAACGACAAGTTCCTGGTCAGCCGCCTCTTCGACGTGGCCGAGGGCTCCACCCTGGAGGAGGCGTCCAGCAGCTGCATCCGCCTGGAGTGGAACAAGGGCATCGTGGGGCACGTGGCCGCACGGGGCGAGCCCCTCAACATCAAGGACGCCTACGAGGTGAGGAGGAGCCTGAGCAAGGCAGGAGCCTTGGGTGGGAACGTGGGTGGGGCACTCGGCGGTGCTGGGGATGGTGGCACTGGGCATCACTGTGGGTGGGGGGCACTGGGTGGTGCTGTGGATGGTGGGCACTGGGCCGCCATGTGGATGATGGGCATTGGGCAGTGCTGTGGATGGTGGGCTCTGGGCCGCCATGTGGATGGTGGGCATTGGGCAGCGCCGTGGATGGTGGGCACTGGGCCGCCATGTGGATGATGGGCATTGGGCAGTGCTGTGGATGGTGGGCTCTGGGCCGCCATGTGGATGGTGGGCATTGGGCAGTGCTGGGGATGGTGGGCACTGGGCCGCCATGTGGATGGTGGGGGGCATCACTGGGGATGGTGGGCACTGGGCATCGCTGGGGATGGTGGGCACTGGGCATCACTGGGGATGGTGGGCACTGGGCATCGCTGGGGATGGTGGGCACTGGGCATCACTGGGGATGGTGGGCACTGGGCATCGCTGGGGATGGTGGGCACTGGGCATCACTGGGGATGGTGGGCACTGGGCATCGCTGGGGATGGTGGGCACTGGGCATCACTGGGGATGGTGGGCACTGGGCATCGCTGGGGATGGTGGGCACTGGGCATCACTGGGGATGGTGGGCACTGGGCATCGCTGGGGATGGTGGGCACTGGGCATCACTGGGGATGGTGGGCACTGGGCATCGCTGGGGATGGTGGGCACTGGGCATCACTGGGGATGGTGGGCACTGGGCATCGCTGGGGATGGTGGGCACTGGGCATCACTGGGGATGGTGGGCACTGGGCATCGCTGGGGATGGTGGGCACTGGGCGGTGCTGTGGGTGGTGGACACTGGGCAGTGCTATGGATGGTGGCACTATGGTTTGTGGGGATATTTGAAACTGCGTTGTGATAATTTGCACATGTATTTGAAACTGCATTTATGGTAAGAGTGTTCGGTGGCTGAGTCAGGGATGAGGCACTGAGTGGGCCTTGTCCTGCTTTTCTCCCTAACGAGGATTTGATCGCAGCCCGTCTCCCAGCTGATCTCAGCTCTTACCCGACCTCTGAGCGTAGCCCCAGCTGTGCTCCCTCCACATCCACTCCTGGGGGTTCTCCTGAGATTCTAAAATGAAAGGTGCAAAAACTGTCAAAAAAAACCCCAAAACCCAGTAGAGCTTTTCATTCATTCCTTCAAATTCATACTCATCCACTCAAAGTTCCCTGGACACCGAAGTTTGATTTTCTTTCTTTCCGATCTTTCTCCCATTTTTAATTAAGCAAATTAACTTCTGAGTGCCTTTTTAGCCTAAGATATTTCCGTGGAAAGATTTGCTATTTCTTCCGCTTCTGCTACAGTGTATGCGGGCCTTTACTTATGGACTTAAAGATTAGGTGTTAAAATCCCTCAAATTCCACACTTAAAACGATCCTCTCACTAGTAGAATTGCGGGCTGTAAGCAAAGCATCTTCCGGGAATGGCACGTGGGATGTGGAGGAGATAGTTTCTAGCTGTGAAGGAGCCGTTAGCCTGTGGAGTAGCGGGCCACCCCGTGAAGGGCCCAGGGTACCCTGTTTGCTGCTCCTCTGTGTAACCCCAGGGGTCATCGCTCTGTTATTCACCCTGCATTCCTGGCGCCGGGTACAGTGCCTGGTGCCGCGTTATCTTTATAAATATTGATTCAGCAAAAATCATAGAAGAGAAGACAGATAAGTAGACTAGAGAGAGGATCGTAATAGACGCTGGGGAACAGGGTGGGGGCAGGGACGCAGGAGGTGACCGCTGTTTGGGGAGTGGACCCTGGACAGCAGGTGAGACCTGAGTGGATGGAGTTGTGTGCACGGTGGGTGCGGATGGACCTTTCAGGCGGAGACCCCGTCTCTGCTGGACGTACTGCTTGTATGGGAACGTGTGGGTCATGTCCAGATGCTGCAGAGCTGCGGGGCAGAGGCTGGGGGAACGGGTCCCCATGCCAGCTGTGGGGCAGAGCCGGAGAGAACGGGTCCCCTGTGCCAGCTGCGGGGCAGAGGCTGGGGGAACGGGTCCCCAGTGCCAGCTGAGGAGGGGAACGTGGCCCAGGGCGGGAGGAGTAGTCCGAGGGGGACCCTATGACTCAGACTGTGCTTGGGATGATGAGTTCTATGGTGGCCATAAGTTACGTGGAGGGAAACACTGGAGGTGGGAGGAGAAAGGATTTTAAGCGCCTGGGGAGTGAGGGTCTGCAGAGGGCACTGGCCTCAAAGGTGAGGGGGAGTGGGCCTCCATGAGGAGCAGAAGCTGCTGGGCGTGGCTGCCCAGAGATAGAAGCCTGGGGGAGAGAAGAGCAGGGGCGGTGAGGGAGGGTAGGGGGCTTCGGTTTTGAAGGTGGGTAAGTAACTAAATAATAGTAAATAACTAAATAATAGTAACTGAGAAGAAATACTGAGGGCAGGGATTTGTGGAGGGATGGGAGAGTTTAAGTGGATGAAATCCGGGAATATTTTTCAGAATTCTTTCTGTACAAGCAAAATGGCCGGGTGCTCAGTGGGTTGGGGCGGCATCCCATAGTCAGGAGGCTGCGTGCTCGGTTCTGAGTCAGGCCAGGTACCTGGTTGTAGGTTCAGTCCCCAGTTGGGCACTTATGGGCGGCAGCCAATCAATGTTTCTCTCTCTCTCTCTCTCTCTCTCTTTCTCTCAAAATCAAAATCAATTTAAAAAACATACCCTCAGGTGAAGATTAAAAAAATGTTAAAAAGTCAGGCAATTTTATGACGTGATGCTGTTATCTAAAAGCCAGTGGTCAGACCTGGTCAGCGGTCCCCTTAATATGCTTTGTAACTATCTTTTCCTTCGGATCGAGGGTCTCATCTCACGCCTACACACACCGGGCGTCTCCTTCGTCTCCTTTAACTCGGGGCTGCGTTCTCCCTGATTCTCTGTCTGCCTTGGCATTTTAGAAGAATGCAGGCCAGCTGTGTTGTGGACGGCCCCTCCTGGGTAGCGTCGATCCAGGGCCTGGTCTTGCTCCTAAGGACACTTGCTGTGTCTCCGCTGAGTGCCTGAGTGCTGAGCGGGGTCCCCTCCCAGGGTCGGAGCCCTCCCCGACCCGTGTCGCCGTCTGCTCTCAGCCAGCAGCGGGTCGCTTTGCCAGGCCTCTCAGCCTGACATGAATCGCCACTCAGTCCCCTGACCCTGCTCTGTGCACCCCTCCCAGCCCCCCTGCCCCTGCCCTGCTTGGGCCAGCCGCTCAGAGCTTCCTACTTCATTAACAAAGCCACTGCGGAGAGAAACTAAGATGGCGGCAGAGATAAACACCGGGAAATTAACGCCGCACACAACAATTGATTAATACCTCAGAGAAACAATACGGACTTCACCCAGAACCACAGGAAGCCTGGCTGACTGTAAACTCTACAACTAGAAGGAAGGAAAGGCACACTGAGACCCACAGAAGCTGCAGGAGAGAAGCACAGAGGTACGGGGCTCACCCGGGGCTCGCGCGCGCGGAAAGGGACTGGGAC